AAAAGTGACTGAAATAAATGTGTGTAAAAAATAAACATTAAATAAATATTGTAAATATACATGGTGAAAAAAAAAAGGCTAGTAAAGTCTCAAAGTGTCCTTAATTTGTTAAAGCTCAATTAGGAGGGAAAAACTTAAAATTGAGTTGCTTATATAGTTAGCGAGTATGAAAAAATTAGCAGCTAGATTATTTCTAGACAAGAAAATTCTCAAAATGAAAGGCCTTAACACAGTTGAGAGTGATAAGATTACAGGAAATCAACTAAAATACCGTGACCATTTAAGATCATAGACAGAGCTTTTGTTGCCAAAACTTTAGTTCACCCACTGGCTTGCTTTAAGTAAACATGCTGTATCATGTAGATTAGGGGAATCCCCTACTACGATGGCGGAAGAAATACACTGTTTCTAGACTTTCGTTTTGAAGGGTTTTTTCCCTTACAACTTTGCGTAATAAATTAATGTAAGGAGCTTTTATTTATTAATTAATTTATTTATTTATGGGAGTGAAAAATAAATGAAAAAAGAAGGCCGGGAGTAAAAAGCAAAAGGCCAAACCCCGGCGGCCTTTTTTGGTTTAAATCACGCTCGGTTGTGACTTTAGAACTTGCCAGTGGTACATTTCACGGATATTAAAATCGAAAAATTTTATAACACTCAACTACTAATAATTTATTCGGATAATGCAAAGATCTAGAGTTCCTGAAAAGTCTCGGTCTTTCAGTCAAGAAAGTTCTATTTTCTCGACCGCCTAGCAGCTCATATTTTCGACGTCAAAGGTCTACATAACTTTTGAAATACCTGACAAAATGTCCGCATTTTTTTTATGTTTTTCTAGCTCTCTGGAAAATGTCTGATAATATCCCTTTACCTCGACAACGCCAATGCACAGATTTAGGCTGCGAGGATGAAAAATATATCCTTGATATATTCAGCTATGTACAGCCTGAAACTCGTGGGAGGTGTGAATCAAGGAAACAGCTGTTTGTGTTTATAACCAGAGACGTAGAAAATAACAGATTGTCTAAGTTCCTGCAGGTAATGTGTAGCGTCTAGCAAAATATACGCGAAGCATGTTTACAAGTACATTTTAAATCCGTAAGCCCCGTGCAAACAGACGCAACATTGCTGGCCAGCCAACAAGTCTCAACAATGTTGCGTCCGTTTGCACACCGTGTGGCATGTTGTTGCACATTGTTGGAAACCAGGAAAATTTTTAGCTACGTGCAAACGGACGCAATAACTCTTAGGAGTTGTTGCGTCCGTTTGCAAGTAGCTTAAGGCAGCGGAGTCATTTCACCTTCAATTTAATTGGAAACGGCGGTGATTGTAGAGGACTTTGATATCCTTTCTTTACTTTCAGGAGGAGCAAATTAGATTGGGCATGATTAAAGTTTACTCTGATAGATTTTGCTGGAAAAAGAGCAAAAATGATGAGACGCTTATTGTACAGATGAAGATGGAAGATTTTAGCTCAGCTAGTGAACCGGTAATAATAATAACAAGAACAACAGTAACAACGACAACAATAATAATATGGATGATGATGATGATGATAATAATAATAATGATAATTACAGTTAAAAAATTTGTTCTGAAATTTTTCTATCGAAGCTTTTACCATTAATTCCCAATGACCATATGGATATTTTTTAAGCTTGAAAGCAATTTAAAAATACTGGATTAGAGAATGGCTGGCTCCAGCCATATGATTCATACTTAAACTTATTGGGTTTCATGCACGTTTTCAGTTTGTTAACGTGCTAAAAGGAATATATGTCAGTAATCTTCTACATCTAAAGAAAGGGTAGTTAAAAACTGCGACATTTGGATCTTGCGGCTCTGTCTCCAGTTGTCTTGTATGGGTATTCAATGTCTAGTAAAAGGGATCATTCTGATTTCGCGCAAGTTTCCTTCAAGTTTTGTTCCTTTGTTTTGTTGTTGTTGTTTTTTTCCGAAAATTTTCATCAACAGTAACTTTCTCTTCGAACTTTACGCTTTTTATATGCCACTGCATTTTGATCCATAAGGAAATTAGTGCTACGCGTTGATTGTGTTTTGTTTTGTTTTGCTTTTATTTTTTTTGGGAGAAATTTTATCAAAATATGAATACGTTCCTTTTATTGACAGATTGAAAGATGCAAAATAGATGAAATGAGGATACCTGAGAAAGTAACCTTTACTCTACCATCTTGCGATGCATCCGTCATGAGACTTACTACAAAATTATTGACACAAAGCGATGACGTGGAAGTGCTATTGGAAACAGAACAGTTAAGGGCCAGCTTGCCCCTGGTAAGTTATAAGTTCAAGTAGGATTTATGAACGGTGAAAGGTTTGCGCCACTGGATTGAAATTTTATGAAATTCCAGGAGTAGTTTGGGAGTGTTTTATGGAACAATTTTAGCACCCAAAACGTACTGAAAAAAAAAGAGACTATAATTGAATCGAATCTGTCCTATACACGCACGAATTCGACCTTAACAAGTCGATTTATCTTCAGCAATTCATAAACCGTGTTTTGAAACAATGTGCGAAATGTTTCACTTTTTAGGACACAATAGATTAATATTTTCGTTGTTTCAGGATTGTCAGTTCTAGGAAGAAATGATTTTTTGAGATAGATTTTCTCATTTTGGAGTTTAAGACAAAAAATTTCCGTTATAGTCTAAGCTCTGTTTATCGGTGAAAATCCATGACGTAACACGAAATAAATAAATAAATAAATAAATAAGTAGAATGACTAAGCCACGATATCAACACCTTTCTCTCTTACAAAACAATTTTCCGAGCTGTGGTGGTTTATCAAAAGTTTGGATTTGTACAGTGTCCTACCGTGGAGTCTTGTTCAATAGCGGGAAATTGTTTCCCAACAGCGCGCGCTCTCGTTGGTTGCTTCTAGGTCACATGACATCTAAGAATGGAACTGTTTCCTGCCAAAATCTACGACGTCAGAGGTTAACAGTGCACTTTTACCAGCAAATGTTGACCGTTCGCTGGATTTATTTTTCATTAATTTGTACACGAAAAAGTTTTCTCCGTGAGCTCGTCAGCTATATAAGACTGGTCTCAAGGGAAACAGTTAATTTTGTTTCCCTCAAGACCAGTCAGTAAGTGTTTAATATTTACCCAAAACCTTCCCCTTACATTTCTGATATATTTCCTCTCTTTCCTTATTTTTTATTCCCAGATACCACATTGGGAGACTAAGTCAGGGGTCGAACATGATCACTGGGTCAGTGAACCAACAGAAACATAATGAGACGCTGGGAAGTTGATACAAATGTAAAATTATTCATGGGTGACAAATTACTCCTTAATTTTAGAACAAAATTTCAGCGTTAATTTATGATTTCACGTGTGAAATTAATTGCCATCATTGCAATGTTCCTTACGTCTTAGTCGAAGTTTTAAAATGTTACAATTGAAGATGTCAGGGCATTAAAAGATGCTTTAGAAAACCTAAACACACGAAAGGGCACATCAAGAAGGATTCTAACAAGTGCTTTTTTAATTTTTTTTCCGAAAAATTCGTAAACTTGTGACCCTAACAACGAACTTAAGCCAAAATTTATGCTCTAAACTTTTCAGTGCGTGGAGTGCTCAATACGAATAACAAACTAAAATAAAATAAAACAAATGAAAAAAGAAAAAGAAAAAAAAAAAGACAATTGTGAACGTAATTTGTTACCCGTGATATTAATAGGTCATACAAGGCTCGACACATTATTAGAATTTGGACAAAAGACGCATGAAACTATTCCCGAATTTCAATCGTCACCATTTGATTGCACATACTTATTGATGTCTGTTTTGTAATAATAATAATGATAGTTATTATTATAAAGACGATGACGATGAAAATTATGGTGATGATGATGATGGTGATATTACATGAGAGGATTTAGGGGTCGGCCCGCTGGACCGCGGCCAACCCACTTATTATTAAGTAATGATCCTCGGTAAGATGGGAAGCAATTTCTTTTAATTTGTTGTAGCGCAATACACTTTCCCCACATAGAAATGTTAGTGTGTTAAAGGATTCCGACCAATCCTAAGAGTTGCAAACAACAGCCACGAAAAGTTAACAAATTTACATGTTCCTTACATATGATTTCGGTGTCACTTAGACTCAGTCAAGTTTTTGTTTTAAGGAAGTTGGTTAGAAAACAAAGGAATAATATACATGCTGCTTTGCGAAAACTTCGTACAATTTGCTGTTTAGGCCAATGTCAGAAGTATAGTAGAGACAATAGTTAGCACCTTCTTACCTGGACCGTTACTTAAAGAATTCTCAATAAAATCTATATAGCTGGTACCGACTCGTCCCCTGTCGCCTCCTATCATTTGCAGGCGGTCCCGAGCGGTCATGAAACGGTCGCAACAGACCATTTCCCCCCGCGCGAATCTTCCACGCGCTTCTCTCTTCAATATTTAATTACAAAAGAGACGACTGGTGACGAGTCAGTAGCTTGCAAGTGTCTCGGGCGCTACGTTCTGAATTTTGAACATGCTTATGCCAATACTAATGCTATTGCTGTTCCTAATGCTAACGCTAATGTGAATGCTAACGCTGATGCTAATGCTAAGGCTAATGCTAATGCTAATGCTAATGATAATGAAGATAATTATGCTAATGAAAATGCTTATGCTAATGATAATGATAATGATAATGATGATGATAATGATAATGATTATGCTAATGAAAATGCTAATGCTAATGCTAATGCCAATGATAATGATAATGATAATGATAATACTAGTGATAATTATTATGATAATGATAATAATAATAATAATAATAATGATAATGATGATGATAATGATAATTATAATGATAAGATAATAATAATAATGATAATGATAATGATAATGATAATGATAATGATAATGATAATGATAATGATAATGATAATGATAATGATAATGATAATGATAATGATAATGATAATAATAATGATGATGATAATGATGATGCTAATGCCAATGCTAATGTTTACTATGGTAAGGAAAACGCTGCATTAACTGCATATGTGGGTTGAGTTTGTTGTTGGTTCTCGCCCTTGTTCCGAGAGTTTTCTCTCCGGGTACTCCTGTTTTCCTCTCTCAGTATAAAAAACCAACATATCCAAATTCCAGTTCGTTGTGGAATGCACGGACACGTTTCAAGGGGTTCCTAAGAACTCCTACATGCTGCGTGGGTAAACAAATTACATTTCATTTTAAAAATTGTGCTTATGATAATGATAACACTCATAACAATAGTAATGATAATGATGCTGATAATGACAATGGTGATAACAGTCATAATAATAAAAAAAAATTCTTCTACTACTACTACTCCTACTACTACAACTACAACCACTACCACTACCACTACCACTACCACTACTACTACTACTACTACTACTACTACTACTACTACTACTACTACTACTACTACTACTACTACTACTACTACTACTACTACTACTACTACTACTACTACTACCACCACTACTACTACTACTAATAATAATAGTAATAATAGTAATTTGGGAACGGCTCATATTCTGAGAAAAATTCTTTTAGCTAAGCGCACTATTAAGTACGAAGGACTATGATTTTGATTCGCGCGGAGCCTTAGAAAAACGGAAGATCTTAGACAACAATGACCTCAACCAGGTTGGCGTCCAGCGGTTTTAGTTAAAACAAGGGTTTGTGTGGGATGCTCAGTTCCGCGGGCTCATAAATGGTCTCGGGCATTGTTATTTAAGGATTTTCCAGAAAGACAGGGTAAAATTACCGAGTAAAAAGCACAAATAATGATTAATAATAATGATGATGTCGAGTATAATGATTCCATCACATCTTTAGTTATTTTTGCACCTTCATTGTATTTAGTGTACATAAAGAGATACACTGAGTCGTTGTAAATAGAAAATAAAGAACTATTTGTTTTCAGTTAAATAGTGTACAGCAATATGTTGGAAACTAGTCTGTACTGTATCATCATAGAAATAAATTCAGGATATACTCATCTAAATCTATATCTTGTTTCCTTTAACCTTCCCTGTATTACAGAGGAGAAATCAGATTAGATTGCATTTTTTCACTTGCGTATTGCCTGTAATGCACCTTCCCCTCTGTGTTCCCCGCTTCAAATAAAATGCAAAAAGATTGTATCCAGTTTCCCCTGGGTTTGACATTCCTTCAAAGAGACATTAAAAACAATAGTTATGCGAACGTTGGGTGGAGGAGGGAAGGGTTTGGTTAAGCATGGTGCATTTTGGGTTATGGGAAAGTCCCTTCCCTGACCACCAGGTGCCAAAAAGGTAACAAATTTTGTTGTTATTTTAGCTGGTGGCGACTTCACGTTTTAAAAGGTCTTCTGCAATTCCCATCAGCAGAAATTGAAAAAACACGAAAATATTTATTTAATAATTTACATGTATTCAAAGCCGCAGGCCCTTTAAGAACAATTACAATTAATTAAGACAGAATATTTTAACTTTCAGTGGACAAAAACCTTGTACCAGAAAAATTCTTTTTTTTTTTTTCATTTTTCAAGGGCTAAAAATGTAATTAGTCATCTGTAATAACACCAAAGACTATTTCTCATGGGAGCCCGAGAAAATGAATGTCAAATTTCACAAGAATTGTGAAAACACACAGGTAAAAGTCTGAAAATTTCATGTGTAAGATGTTATTTTGTGAAATCCCATAAGAAAGTTTCTTTGGTGTTATTACAGATGACTAATTACATCTTAAGCCCTTGAAAAATGCTAAAAAAAAGGATGCAATATGCTTTAAATTGTTCTGGTGCAAAATTACCATTCTTTCGAAATCTTTTGCCTTCTCTGATTAGCTCCTATACCCGGCAACTTTCAGTGGTATATATGCCTGAAAATAAGGTTGACCGATGATATACTTGCCTGGAAACGAGTTTGCTTGCATGGGCGATAGCCAAAAAAAGAAAAATGGGTTTAACGCTATTGGAAGACGAAGCAAAATAACCACCTGCAAAACCTGAAACCGTGCGAGAAATGGACCAAAGTTTGAAGAAAGCATACAAAGAGGTAAAAGTTTGTTAGGATGCTCCGAGATCTTCATAATTCTTCACATCATACTCAACCTCATTTTATAATCGTTAAATAATTTGCTTACTATTCCCAGTTGATACAATTGTACGTGTATAAAAGGCTCGGAAAATTATGAGGAATTGGACAGGATACCGGGGGGGAAGGGGACTTCGCATATGAAGGTGGTACGGATGCTCGTCGGACATTGTGAATTAAACCCCTAAAGGAGACCGATCTGGGCGTGGCCCAAGCTTTTTTTGACCCCTAAAAGAGACCATGTTAAAACACAGACAAATGAAAACAATGGACAAAGACGTCTTCTTTAGGTATTAATGTTATAGAAAACTTGGATTATATGAATGGTGTAAATAAAACGAATTAAAAATATACATATCAAATATATGTTTCTATATTTTTTCGCGTGCAACCCTAAACGAGACCTTCACGGCTAAATATGATGGCGTTTTGCCCAGAACGCGCTAAGTGAGACCAAAATCCGAAATTTACACCCCTAAGCGAGACGGCGAGCATCCGAACCACCTTCATATACGGAGTCCCCCACCCCGGGGACAAAATATGCGTGAAATTATTACCGATTTTGAATTCACAGTAAACAACTTGAATTGATTACCTATCAATTTTATGGGTGACGAGTTATTTTCGCAAGGATTTTTTGAAATGTTTATTCTATTTTTATCGTATCAATCGAGTACTCTACTTTCTCAAAAGTTAAGAGCTTAAATTTTTGCTTAAGTTCAGAATGTTCTGAATTTTTGGGGGGTAAAACATCTGTTAGAATCCTTCTTGATGTGCTCTTTTGTGTGTTTAGGTTTTCTAAGGCAGCCTTTATACTTGGTGACCGGGCATGGTGCCAGAGTACGGTAGTCACTGGCCACTAATGTGAACACACCCTGAACAAGGTATCGGTGCCCGAGTACGTAAGACTCGAGCTTGTACTTGAGCACAAAAGTGGGTACCGGGTTCCTGTATCCACGCCTTTTTTGTTTGTCCAGGGGCAGTCTACTGCTTTGTACTAGTTGCTAAGATCATGTTTCAAAATGGCTTGTGACAGAGCGAAAATGCGTGAAATAACTATGTAGAAAGTTACGCTGTTAGGGCACTCAAAGTGTAAACACAACGCCATTTTGTGCCGGTACCCAGGAAGTGGTTATCAGGAACCAAGTGTGGACAGTCCCTACAGCGTCTTTTCATGCCCTAATATCTTCATTGATTCATGACATTTTTTAATTTCGTCGCCATTTTAACTTGTCAATGAGACGTGCGAAAGGTTGCCATGGAAATTTTGTAATTTCATCATTAGGTGAAAGTAAAAATTATCGCTGACTTCACGCGCCAAAATTAATGAGTAATTCGTCACCCATTATGTTATTTGAATCATTGGCAGAGTAAGTCCATATGTTCATAAGGTGGATAGTAGAGTTTCTGATAAAATCATGAGCTTGGCTAAGAAATTGATCATCTGAAACAACAGAAACTAAGTAGCACCTTTGGTTAATATTTTTTATTTAATTATTGAAAAACAAATTTAGACATTCGTCATCTCTGTTCTACCATTACCATTTCAAATTAATTCAACGCATTCCTTGAAACTGGTATAGATCAATGTGAACGTGATATTGTTTTGTGCATAGAAGGATTATACAGCCAAAAAAAAAAAAAAAAAAAAAAAAAAAAAAAAAAAAAAAAAAAAAAAAAAAAAAATATAGAAAAAAAAAAAAAAAAACTTAATTTTTGAAAAAAAAATTTTGACATTCGTCATTTCTTTTTTACCATTACCATTTCAAATTAATTCAACGCATTCCTTAAAAATGGTATAAATCAATGTGAACGTGATATTTTTTTTTGAAAAAAAGGATTAAAAAACCAAAAAAAAAAAAAAAAAAAAAAAGAAAGAAAGAAAGAAAGAAAATATATAGATACTCTGTGAAAACAACTATCTCTCCCGTCTCTTTAGCGGTGAGGAGGAGGAAAAGAAAGAACATAAAAGAAAACAAAATTTAAAACAAAGAAAGAAAAAATCCGCCAGCATTAAAATCCCAAGATAAATACACAGCGGTTGAAAGTTGAACACAAAATTTGTCGTTTTATTATTTAAAACTCGCCCTTTCCCCAATACTTAGTCACTAAAGCATGGATTTAAATAACAGTGATAATAGATCTGATATTATAGTGAAAAAAGAAAGCGTAATATAGCTTAATCTAGAATGAATAGCTGACTTTTATAGAAAAAATGCAAATTCTGCAAAACATCACTGTCAAAACTAGTTACTATCATAACTTCAGTGTTAATGGTCATAGCCTGAACGGTTTATTCAACTTAAAGCGAATCCTTCAAGCAGTCCTTTAACAGTTTGTCAGTAAACAAAGACGCTAGAAAGGACCATTAAAATTTCGACTAAAACCAAACCAACTCTTCTCCTTTTTCGTTAACATGCGCAGCTAACAGGCAAGACAATGCTATTGTAGATTTCCCAAAGCAGGGTTTTCCACATTCATGCAAAGTATATTACTGAATTTCTTCATAATACAAATATGAATAAAACGCCATTGGGGAAAACTAATACATGCTCACTGAAAGAAATCTAAATTTAAATTTCAAATATTTATTATGTAAGGATACATAAAAGGAAACGCCAGAGGTTATCCCTGTAGAGGACGCTCCCTACATGAAATATAAAATAAATATACTACAATGTAAAATTTAAGAATAATTAAGAAATGGCTAAAAAGATTACAGAATTTTACAATACTTTCTAAGTTTACCTCGAAAAATGCTGAAATCCTGTTCGTGCACTATCTCTTTAGGAAGAGCGTCCCACTGTTTATTAATTCTGACAATTAAAGAATGAGTGCAAAAAACAATTTACTCTAGCTAACGGCTGTCTTAATTGCATTTCGGTGTGCAGTACCAATCTGGCTTCTTAACAGTTCTAATAGAGTATTAGAAATATTTACGATGCTCAATTGTGTTAGTTTGTCGTCATCTGTTGGACCAGTTTAATCATACCACGCGTAAACATCGACGCAGGCAGTACCGTAGTTATCCCACCAGCCGCAATTGCTCAAGGCTTCACCATACCAGATATGGAACTCATCCTGCCCAGGAGATACGGTTATTGGAGAGGGAAGCTTGTTAAACAATAGCTCAGCAGAATTGATGCCAACACCATCGATCTTATATGAGTAAAATCTGCAACTATCAGATTCACCTCTGTATTGGGCAAGCGGAAGGGCTGTTTTGTTTGGGTATGTTATGACAGTAACTAATGTCTTATCCCCATACGAACTGTGTGGGCATCCCCAGTGGGGGCGTGAGATTCTCCTGCTGCAGCTAACTCCCCCTCGGACGTGAACGAGTTTAAAGGAGTAGATGAGCCCTCCTTCTTGCATTTTAAATATCCCCTTTGAGTGAGCATTAAGTCTAGCTTTAAAGCAGATTGAACCAGTGGAACCAGTGTTGACTTTCTTCCAATTAACTGATAACAAAAGAAAATCAATTTCAATTGGAAATAGCTTTGCCAGAACCCGAAGCAATAGTTGTGCGTTCTTAGACTTGCAGAATGAGAAATGAATAGAACTTTACAACAGATTACTGATCTTGAAATTTTGAGGGGTTTTGCCGCAAATCCAGAGATAATTTGGCCGTCTTTATGACAGCATAAAAAGAGAAGTGTCCTAGATTGACCAACTACGCCATCAACAGATTCAGAAGTAACTATATTTTAATTACCTACGGTAAAATACATCATTACCGGCTTCCAGGGCATCCAGTCACAAAAAAACTCTGCATAAACTAATAAATAAGTAGTTCTTATCTTAATAGGACGCCTTAAAACTGAGGGAATACAAGTTATTATTGCCCCCGCAGGGATTTCGCTCAGAAGGCGAAATCCCGAGAAGACACCCTAGTAACTCGCGCGTATATTAAGGAAAGTACTTAGTAGTTGAAATATACAGTCAGTATACCAGAAAAAATCTCGGTAAACATAATTTAAAAAATCGTTTTAACGAGAAAAATGTTTAAAGTTCTTGTGCTGCAGCCAAACAAGGCGCAGTCGCCGGTTTTAGTGCTTGGAGCTTTTTTCACGCGAGAAGAAGTCTTTGATTATTCGACCCTGAACGCTCTCAACAAGTTCACGAAAATTACTGGGCGCTAACCTATAAATTGCTTTGCATGTAAAAAAGACGGAATCAATCAGGAAATTGAGTAATTTTTATATTCAGTGGAGAAAAGACTTGTACAAGAATATTATAGGCCATAACGCATTCTTTTTTACACTTTTCAAGAGCTATCTGTAATAACACTAAAGACAATTTCTTATGGGAGTCGGATAAAATAAACCTCAAATTTCACAGGAAACAGGAAAAATCGTCATGCGTAAGATTCCATTTAGTGGCTCCCATTGGCTCCCTTTTTTTAATTTGGAGTAGTTCGCGGCGAACAGTGGCATGTGATGCTCTGATGTTATGCAAGTTGTGTTATGCGAGGTTGCCAGCTCTGATATAGACTCATGACGGAAATATTTTTCTTGTTTGCTGCCATGAGACCTTAAAAATATGGACAAGAGAGCGTGCTGTTGGAGTAAAAATTTATATCAATACAATTTATCTACACATAACTCAAATTTGTTCAGAGCATCCATGTAATTACTAAAATTAACGTCCTCTCTTGATTGCTGTCAACACTAACCTTTGCAGACAGCACCGTCTTTAATAAACCCAGGGTAGCAATCACAACGAAATGAACCGTCTTCATTGACACATTGCGTTCCTAGCTTGCAGTTATGCGAATCCTCAGAACACTCATCAATATCTGTTTATAAAAGAATAAGTAAAGGAAAAAATAGACAAAAAAAAAAGCCGTTTACTCGAAATTACTTTTTTGCCAAATAAGTTTTTTCCATGCACATTCGCCAAAAGAAAAATGAAAGACATTTGACGATGAAAGATTTCAAAATAAAAATGTAGAGGTGAGGCGTTAATCATGTACAATTGTGCAGTCTTACTTTGTTTCTTATTCGTTGTACGACAATGATTGCGTTCGTGTCTTCTCTTCCTTTTCTCTCTCTCTTTTTTTTGTTTTGTTTTGGTTGGTTGTTGTTGTTGATGTTGTTGTTGTTTTTAGTGGTTATTGTTTTCTCTCAATCACTTACAGGTACATTTTTTAAAACCATTTAACTAAATACATTAAATGCCGTTGAAGCTACGTTAGCTCAGTGTTAGCTATTATAGTTTGATATAATTTAATCACTGGTACTTGCTCACATGATACTGGCCCTTCTATCGTACCTTTGCAGTCATCTGTTTCATATTTGTATCCGTCCCGGCAGACACACCGATATCCCTTGTTTGTAAATCCGACCTGACACATTGCACCTTTCCCTGGACAAGGATTTCCATGAAGCTGACATAAGTTCTGGAAATATTAAGTTTGAACATAATAGGAGATGTGACTGTTGTACACTTTTAACTTTTACACATGCAACTTTCATGCAAGTCGCAAGTGAATAATCGCCCAGTCCCCCTCACTCTAAGTGATTATATAGATTTTTTTTTTTTGGGGGGGGGGGGGGGGGGTGTTTTTTTTATATATTTAGTAAAAAAAACAGCGGACGCCAACGCTCTTCTTGAAGATACAGGCAAAGACATACAGCGTACCTCAACGGCATAATGAATGTATTGTGCCACGTTCTTCAAAGCCGACTGCGAAGGGCTGTCGTCCGTGGCATTGTTGAGTTCACACATGCCTTTTCCCTCCTCCACTGGTCCTACATTGATTGACACACAGTTTGGCTCCATGAAGCACTGCACACGACAGCTTCCCTCATTGGTACCTTTACTGATCTAATCACGTGACCTTGCAGCGCTTTTCCTTTTATAGGTTCCTTAAAGATTATAATGCGATTGTACTTTGAAGACACAACTGCAAAACAAACAAACGAACAATAAAAACAAAACAATTAGGCCAAAAATACCTCAGGTTATTTTATATGCAGTAATTCTACTCTGTTGAATTAACAATAAAAGAAATAAACAGCGAAAAGCAGGCTCATTTCTAACAACTCGTTTCATAGGCCTGAGAAAAATCTGTTTTCCATCGGAATGCGATTAGCTTAAGCCCATCGAATGAACAATTTCGGTACGAATTATGTGTTTTTTTTGCCAGAAATTCTTCACGCTTTGCTGGAGATTACTTCGTTGTTATTTCAATTAATTAATTAATTAATTTATTTATTTATTTATTCATCTTTTTGTTTATTTACCTATTCAATTACTTAGTTTTTTTTATTTATTCATTCATTTATCTAAGCCGCTTTAATTTGTTTGCTACTATGTTGAAAGATCTTGTAACTCGGAAAGCTTATTTCACTTAGATTAAGCTTGCGAATAAAGTCCTTGATAAGGTTCATGAGAGACGCATCCAAATATTGATAGAGTGCAGCTTACCGCAGCCGTGCTGATCGAATTCGCAAATAACCCGGATTGGTTGTCATGAAAACACGGAAAAAACACTGATCTTGATGTACGTGGCATCGTCTCGTTTTAAAACCCCAAAGGTGTTGGAGGATAAAGCTAATCCAACCCAATAAATCATATTTCCGTGCATGGCTGTCAACAAGTTAGATAGATTGAAATGATTTTATGAATGTATGAAAAAAAAACAACAACAACAACAACAACAACAACGGCAACAACAACTGTCAGGCTGAAAGTTTGGTGAATTGTATTTTAGCAACAATTGCATTTGTAATTTGAACCCACGTATTTACTAAATATTTGCATGTTCTGTTAAGGTGTTTCGGTACACTTTTTCAGAGGCCATACAGATATTTTTCAATCGCCTTAAAAGTGTTTTTTTCCTTGTCCGATCGCTAAAAAACTTTCACCAGTAATTGGCTAGGTATTAAAATTTGTGAAAATTGTAGTTTGAAGTAAAATCGATATTACTATGACAACAATAAACAAAAAAACTTTGAAATTGATAAAAGCCGTTACAACATTCACTGTTTTGACGTTATGCTAATTTTTCCAAATGAATGCGCACAATACATAAAATGTACTAGTCATGGAGGTATGTATAGTGCGCAATATTTTGGAAAAATTAGCATAACGTCAAAACAATGAATTTCGTAACGCAGATTTTTTGACCGGTTTGTAGGATAGGTTTGTCTTGAAATTTCAAGGTGTTGTAGTGAATCAGTCTTAATGAAAGTTTCAGACATTTTTATAAACATTGTGAAGATTATGTGAAGAGATTTTAAAAAAAATTGTTCGAGTCATTTCGGAGATATACAAGAAAGCCCTAAAAGTCCAAATTCTGAATGAAGTTACACTTATACAGGTGGTGAGAAAGCGGGTTAGTTTTCAAGATCGCAAGAACGAAAGTACACCTAAATTTCGCAGCATCAAAATATGATATTAAGCAGCATTTTGACGCTACTTAAGAATAATTTGAGTCATTTATAACGTTTTTATTAAATAATCTATCACAGTTATTGAAAATTTAAGGTTTGCCATCTATTTTCGTTTTAGTCGAATTCAAACATACACAATTTTTAACTTCTTACGGAGATTGTTTGCTAAACACCAAACTTTAAGTTCCTGGTGTTGAATTTTCAGTAGCAGGTCTAGATCACCCAAAATTCGGCTTTTATCAATTTCAAAGTTTTTGTTTATTGTTGTCATAGTAATATCGATTTTACTTAAACCTACATTTTCACAAATTTCAATCCATAGCCAATTACTGGTGAAAATTTTATAGCAATCGGACAAGAAAATAAACACTTTAAGGCGATTGAAAAATATCGGTATGGCCTCTGAAAAACTGTATCGAAACACCGTAAAAGGTACTATTTTCGGCGCTTGAAAACAAAATGTCCATGGTATGTTTTGCTGAAATTAAAAGATAATGATTGTAATTCTGAGTACAGATTCAATCTAAACTAAAACTATATGAAGGAATAATTTAAAGAGGACTCAGAGATTATACAAAAAAAAATGCTGTAAATTTATCTTCCGTTTAACACCTGCGAAAGAACAGGTGCCATATTGGGTTTTTCGCCTCACATGGATTATATTCGAATAAGATTAGAATAAGGAATAGTGGAATCTTACGGGTTGAAGGACTGTAGCCGGCTTTCTTCTTCTTGTGCATATTGTCACTTTAGGGCTATCAAAAAGGCTAAATTCTTAAACCCCTAAATTCGCGTTGAATATAAATAAATTGATAAATAAAATAACTATACTGATTTTTTTTTTTAAAAAAGAATAAATTCCTTTTTTCTCAAAATTACCGTCGAAAATCTATTTTACCTTATTTTCTTTTCAAGAATCAATATATATATATACATACATATATATATTACATTTTCTTTATTCGCCGAAATATGTTCTCTGTTGCAAAGTCATAATTATATTAAGACTTGAGTAAAAACGTGACTGGTATCAATATGGCTGGTTTATGAATACGAATTTGTCTTGTTCCTTTCGTTTTATGTCTCTGTATTCCTGTTTAGTGAAAGTAGTGAAAGTACAAAGTATCACCAGTGTTTCCATAACACTAGCTTTGAATTCGAGACAAGGAGTTACCGCCATTCGCAATGCCTATGCCGAGGCGTGCAGGTCTCGTAATTTAATCATCGCTATCTAATTTGTGCTTTAAGGTTTCTTCGCGGCAACAGGAACTGGCATGGCTCAGCATTTTGCGTACGAGAAATTCAACAGTGCTACGCTTTCTCCACTGTGTAACCTTAACGGGGTCTTAAGAAGCAAAAACTGGCGAACGACCAGACGTAAACTGCTAACGATATCGATTCTGCGTAGTTGGAGGTAAGAAACCTTCACGAGCACTAAAAGAAGCTAAAAGAACTTTGCAGTGAAATTCTGTTGACTTTTAAAACAATATTCATCTCTTTGCTTTCCTAAGAAACTTGTCAAACGAAAGCGCTTTCATTTTAATTGCATGTTGTGTATGGAAAACGCGTTAGTATGGGAAACCCATGCTTTGATAAAAGTTGAATTGATAGAGTGAAGGCAAATTAATGATTGCAAACCATATTTTTGTGTCTGGAAAGTAAAAAGTGCAAAAAAAAAAAAAAAAAAATTAATTTTAAAAAATGACTTTCTCTACTTGATTCTCAACGAGTTTTTAGAAAAAATAATGATAATAAAAAGAATAAATGAGGCAAAACAAAAAAAAAAAAAAAAAAAAACAAAAATAATAGAAAAAAGAAAAAAAAATAAATGTTTGAAAAACATATTTTTGGTTATGAAAAAAAAAAAATGAAAAAAAAAAAAACAAAAAAATAATTTTAAAAAATGTCTTTCTCTACTTGATTCTCAAAGAGTTTTTAAAAACAATAATGATAAAAAAAAAAAAAAATGAGGCAAAACAAAAAAACAAAAAAAACAAAGCAAAAAAAAAAACTTATGAGATGGGCCACTGAGAATGGATTTAGAATGAAACGGAGCCGATATCAACCCGTTTTCTGTTACCAAAGAAAATGCACCTAAATTGGAATCGGGGAAAAGGTTAAGGCGTGAACAAACACCTACCAGTATACATAATCGGGTACAAACCACATACAATCCAGACCAGCAAGTTAAGCCAAATGAAATTAGCCATAAAGCTGGTCTTAGTTCTTCACTTTCGTTCAGTTTCGCACTCGTGCTACACCTTGAACTATCATATTTTTTTTCCGCCTTTCATCGTTTAATTTTAATGAATAAAACATTTTTTCTGTTTTTTAGTGTATTAGTGGATAAGTATTTTATAGGCTGGCTATTTACTTTCTACTGTCTCCTTTAACCTTAGATTTGTGATCTTGCTCCTTTTGTATCGGCAACATGAACAATTGTTTCATATTCTCAAGCATTCGATCTTATTTCATACACCACTTTATTACGCCACTGTTTGTCATTTGCCTGTTTCCCCTTTATATTAGCATTTCTGTCCGTCATTGCCTAACAGGTATTTGTAAACAGAATTAACTGCCACATCAGAATCATCGCATGGGTATTCTTTGCTATTTTGTGCAATTATAGCAATGACATTGTTATTTTAAGAAGTGTCACACCTTTAAGTAAATCTGTCATTCGAAACTCTGAGTTTCCACAGACAAATGAAGATACAAGTTCATTGCCATTCTTGATAACTTTAGGGCCGCTTTCTTCGTCATGCTTTCAAATACCGTAAAATTCCGAAAATAAGCCCCGGGGTTTATATTTTTCAAAGGCCCTTTTTGAGGGGCGTATTTTTAGAGGGGCTTATATTCGGAGGGGCTTATCTACGGAGGGAAATTTGCGTTTCAAAATCGATTGGGCTAGCCTTATAGTTGGAAGTAAACTTACCGTTTCTGCTTTGTTTTACTTTGTATTTGAGGGAAATTTTCCAAGTACATGCCTCCGGGGGGCTTAATTTGGAGGGGTGATTTAACGGAGGGTTTGTTGGGTCACCGGTTTGGGGGGCTTATATTTGGAGGGGCTTATACATGGAGCGGCTTATTTTCGGAATTTTACGGTATTTGGCGCACGCTTCTCCTTTTTAAACGAGGCTCGTTACTGGGCACAGGTGTCCCATTTCTCGAAGGTCCTGTTTAATTAACGATCACAGAAAGCTGTTATTTTTTTGTATTCAGGAGGGAGGTTTCAATTATAGTAGTATTTAAAAATTGTAAATATCATCCCTGGGGATTAATTAATGATATTCAAATGAGTATATATAAAAGGAAACATTGGCATGCATTTTCCCATTTACTTCACTTTGTCCGACACGAGGGACGTTTGGCGACTATCAGTAGAACCCGACTTACTCGCTTGATGGCGGCCGACGAGTCCGGTTTTTATCCACCGGCTGCAGAACTGTTAGTTAAAGCGGAGTGCTTTAATTAGGATGGCCGGCCCATGCTCACGTACTCAGGTCCACCAGGTTGTGCTCAGGATGACGGCAGGACCTAAGCTAGCGCTCCAACTGTTGAGGTTTTGTGTTTCTCTTTCTCTAAGAATTGCGTCGTGTCAGAGCTCCATGTGCATGTTTTGTGAAGAAAGTATGAGAAAGATCAATGCAAAAAATGTCGGGATAGCTTTCGTGGTGTACTTTGGTGCAGTGTAAACGCCTATTCGAACCGTCGTGTTAGCAAATAGGTAGGAGCGAGGACTGGAACCCACTGAGACGAAAGTAAACATTCAGGAATGAGGACTGGAATTTAGTGCACCAAACCCTCCCAGCCAACCATAGCTCGATATTCTGTGTGTAAACGACTCGTAGTGTTCCAGTTCGGGCGGCCGTTGCTGTTCATACTCTGACTGATCCAAGAGCTATGGTTCTTGACCGGATCGAAAAATATAGTTTAAACACAGTCAAAAGAACAAAAGCGTAGGTCATTTTAGTTCCAGTTTTTTTGTTTTTTGCTCTTATTTTTTTTATTTTTGTTTTTTGCTTTAATAATATTTTTTGGTTGAAATTCGGTTTATTATTTACCCGACCAGCGGTATTATACTTAGGCTCAGGACCGCGCGGTCGTTAACATGTAAAAGGTGCTCGCCATATTTGTGCTAAGTTTTAAGTTGTATTTGTTTTTGCATTTAGTAATCGGTTTTCATCGTACTTGCCGGACGTAAAAGTGTAAGTTTTTCATTTTATTTCTGTAATTTTCAAGCATTTTGTATTCCGTCTAGAAACCATGTTTATCATGAGATTGTTTATCGTACATGAGTTTGACACCTAACATCTCCATGTAGTTCCGAATTAAAGGTTGTGGTTTTTGGCGGGTACAGTCATAGCCAACAAACCAGTCCATTTCTTGTTGTTATAAACGAATAGTTTCATCAGGTTATTTGCTACGGAAACTCAAGGGCACACAATGGATCTGGTCCACAAAATATCTGTTCTTCAGTCCAATTTTTGATGGCTGGGAGAAGTGGAAGAAATAATAATGTCCGTGGAAAGAAAGTGTTGCTAGGGAAAAGACAATTCAGGGTGTCCGAGGGGATTTTATGTACAATAGCTGGCATGTGTTATTTTTTAGAAGCCTCTTCCCCCTTCCCACCCACTGAGAGGCTGAATTCCGCCCTCTGACCACACCCAAACTGGTCAGTTATGTCTGCAGGGAAAATTTCCGGTAAGTTTGGTTGCGGGGTGTAGGTTCACCTTGCTGGCTTAGAACTGACTTCTATCGGTCTTGCTGGGAGTGAGGAACAGAAAAAGTTTTCCGCCAGCAGTCTCTCAAAATGCTTAAAATGGCTTCAGAAAGCTTTAATCATACTTTGTTGTTGTTTTTGGGTTTTTTTTCTCAATAATTCCCTTTGAGTGCCCCTGGAAACAAATCCCTCTACCTTGAACTTAAATAACGACGGCTTTCTGGGCACGTTATTTATTGGGACTTTCGAATGCATTTTAAACTATTTTTATTTTATTAGATTCGGCAACTACTGTCAGGGTCACCGCAACAGCATGACGCCAATTACTGCGGGCTCGTAACAGTCCCTTCCCACATGAGAGAACAGTGTGTGGGTTTTTTAACGTCCCACAGAATTTACACATGTTATAAATGCAAGGGTTCTGAGACGGGGCCCACGGTTTATCTTCCTTATCCGAGAAGACTAGAAAGTCTAACCGTTTGCAGATGTCTTTACAAAGGCAGCACTTTCTCCACAGTTATGGAGAAGACCGGCAGACCGGCGCTTATCCAACTGAGCTAACCGGGCAGTGGTAATTTTGCACCTCAGATCTTTTGCAACAACTTGCAGCTAGCCAGTTCCACTTACACCAAGGACCATTTGAATTAGAACTCAGAACTCGACTCTTTTTTTGATTATTATTCTTAAACTCCAATGGATCAAAAACACGTTAAATGTTGAAAAAGTGTCACAAAACAACTTTCAGCATGCTTCACTGGGCCTTAAAGCAGTCAAACTTAATATACAGGTGTACAGGTGCGTGTAGCTTTTGCTTGTGGGCACACTAAAATAAGATTTTTTTGCGTGAAGAAATTAATACAAGCGTCCACAGTGCTTCTCTTGATATAAACTTCATCGTCATGAAGTTTTGCCGCGTTGCAGTTGTTTCTGTGGAACGAATTCAAGAAATTAGGATCTGATCACAATACCTTAAGTTAAGTTCACATTTGGTTTAATTCTAACCAGAAACACGAAAAAAAGCTATTGAGGCTGATCGTATCTCAGACCTAAAACAGTATTGTATACTTGACAAGAAATGCGCGTCTCGCAAACTCGCGAAATTCGTCAGGGAATCAGAGTATTGTTTCCTCTCGGGTCTTTCAAATCCTTTTTTAAACAAATTGGCCATGGACCTCTATCTTGATCAGCCATTGAGGGCATTATACATGGCACGTAGCTTAGAATGAGCCAGCCCCTGTGAGCAGGGTAAAAAAATTAAAGGCACTGTTAAACGCAATTTATCAAAATTCAAACAGCAAGACAGTACTTACAAAAGAAGGCCGTTTTTTAAAACTTGATAGCGAACAGTTTTTCATATTTCATTCTTGTTGTTTGTAACGTTTGATATAACGCTTTGGGGAGATGTTTGTTACAAAGTTGTGATTTTGTCTTCGACACGGAAGTAAATGTTTAACTTTTCACGTTCCTTAGCAAGTAAAGACGTGTTATATATAGGCATTGTGTTAACTCAATGAACTTGACGGCCGTGACGAAAATCCTTTTTATCTTAAAGTGCTTTAAACATACCTGCAGGGAAAATTGGGGGAGATGCCGGAGGATCGTAGAGCAAAGAAAGAAAAAAAAGAAACAATGGAATTGAGGTGTCTATTTCTGAAAAATAAAACACATGGAAGAGTTAAGCCAACAAAACAGAACAAAAACTTCGTTTATAGAAAGTGTACATAAGTTATTAATAATTTTAAAATCACTATGATCTTACCTTTTGAAACGAAGGTGCAAGAATTACCCAGTTTGTCGACATCTGCAGGAGACTGAACGAGTTCCAGACCTGTTTCCTACAGAATGAAGTAATAAGAAGTTCTTGTTAAAGAAAAAAAGAAAAAAAAACTGGTTTTCCCAAATACCGTCGAAGGTTTCCTTTTGACCACTACTCTTGTAAGCGACCAGCCCTAATTACGACTACCTTTGAAAAACTCCGTTTGAACTGTGACTTAAGCTTTGTAATGACAGCGACCTCACCCTTAAGCGATTGCGACCAGTTTCGAGATTACCCAACTGGACGTTGCCTTTGTTTTTATGCTGTCGCAAGCGACCACTCGGTGAATACTAAGGGTTTTATTCATATAAATCATCACTTTGTTGAAAATGAACACTGAGCTTATTGGACGTTACTTAAGTCGTGTCTATATCAGATGCAAAGTCGCTCATTAAACATTCATTTCTTTTGTTTTGTTTTGTTTTGTTTTTTTCTCGTTGTTAACTATTAACTGGAGGTTATCATTGATCACAGATCCGCGTTCGTCATTTACGAAGACAAAATCGAGTCGAAAGGGGTCCAGGTTCAGGCCGAGTTGCCCCTGATAAAATCAGTAAGGGCTGCTAGTCGGCAGTCGCCAGCGAAACCTCGAAATTTTGTGGCTTTGTATCACAGGAGGACCAAGATTTGGATGCGTTCTGACGAACGCGATGAGTTTCTGCAGGTCTCGTAAGCGACCGTCCCCTATTGTTTAACCAACTGACAACTTTCACATATATACCATAATGCACCTTGTGTACCCCAGGAATTTTGCACAACCATTGTTTCCAATTTCTCCTAGGTATTACAGTCGTCCTAAGAGAAATCCAAGACAACGGTTATGCAAAGTTTTGGGGGTTAAACATGGTGCATTATGGTTTATGTGAAAATGGTGAATATGTCGCTTAAGAGAGCTTATTCTCCTTAGCGACCATCTCTAGTAACAACCACTTTTTTGAATTTCCGTGGTGGTCACCTGAGTTGTCCCTAACAGACCATTTAAAACTTACTCGCTCAAAATATGCCACAACTTCCGCGTGTGCAGAGTCACCTTCATGGGAGGTTTTGATTTCACAGAAGAATGAATTATTCGCGTTGTTAACGTGACATATATCGAAATAGCAACATGGAAAGTCAGTAGAGCTTTCTGTTGAATTCCATGCATCTCTTGACTTGATGGTCTGCAAGACAAGTGAAAGGTTAAGAACTGATAGATATGTTCTGTGAGGTTATTAGTGGCATAGCTTGCTCACAGACGTTTTCCCTTTGTTACCTCAGCTCCTTGCACTTGGGATCAATATTTATATATCGCGGTTTTTATTTTCATTCACGCACTCGACTATCTTTTAAGAAAAAATAGATGGTCCGTGATCAGTCGAACAAACTCTTGCAAGGTTTTTTCTCTGCGGTAGTACTAGTACAAATGCATCTTTCCTTTTATATTGCCAGTAAGACCGTTAGGAAGAAATTGTCTAGTTTAAATGCGATTTGAATAGATGGTCGGTATTTTAAGCTCATTAACTATAGAATTAAAGATAAAGAGCTAGGGAGGAGTTACTGGAGAGATGTAAAAGTAGGGGATTTGAGAGGAGTAGATCGTGTTTCAACCGACGACTGCATGAGGAATGGGAAAGCCTCGAGAAGTCCGCTAAAAGGCAGAAAAATACCACCAGAGCCACTTATTTCACTCATGATAAACAACGTTATCGATCATTAACTTTTGCTTAAGAAAAAGCTTCGTTAAAATTTTCTACTGGTACCTTCACATTGCTTCCTTTGACCTTCCATCCATCTTCCAATGAATTGAGCTCAATTTTGATGTCTTCATTGCTGTTAGACACAAATATCCCAGAAAGAGGTGTCAGAAGCCTTTGTCCACTGTGGTCTCCTTTCTGGCAAATTTTCTGTTAACATTAAACGGACGAAAAATTATAACTGTTGAAAATAAAAACCCCTTGGAGAGCAAAATCGAGTTATTACAAGAGATGTTTTACGACGGTTAGCATTCTAAGACAGGGGCAAGTGACTGAGCAGTTACGCACACTAGCACGATTTCTTTTCGCTAATCGGCGTAATATGTAAAGTCTTAAATATGTAATAATGTAAAGACATAAATATGTAATAATGTAAAGTCCCTGAAGAATTCTGGAAGACATGAAGCATGAGAAAAGTTTGCGTTACTCCAAAACTTTGAAGTTCTGAAGTCCTTTTAAGGTATGATCGCCAAACTTAACGACTTTCAAGAAATTCATCTGGAAATACTTTTAAGTCTTAAAGTGACGTGTTCGTCAAAACTGAAGTTTATAGCATGGTAACCCAAGTGTTGGCAGCCATATTTTGCGAATTTAAATTTCTAGTACTTTTGAATACAAACTTATTGAAATTTGCACCCATGGGTAAAAGGGGAAAAAGTGAAGAGGTTTTAATTCTGTTATTTGCGTCCAATTATACCGATAACCTCTCTGGTATGAAAAGGAAAGGTTAAGAATCAAAACAACCCCTCACCCCCTCTCCCCCCAAAAAACAAACAAACAAACAAATACAACAAGAAAAAACAACAAGAAATAGAGAGTGACTATATAGAAAGAAAGGAGCATAAAAGCAAAATCAGCGATCCCAATGCTAAGTTTTAAAAGGACCGCTCTGGATACGGTTTTGAAAGTGAAAAATACGATTTTTGCAAATCAAAACGCTCAACATTTTATTTACTTCAGGTGACTTGCAACTCTTGTTAGTGTGCCTGTAAGCGTACTGCTAAATTTACAGTTTACAAATAAAGTCCTTGGAATCTTCCTTCTCGGCTTTGAAGGTCAAATAAGCAAAAATTTACCGTTATCTACCGTTAGGACTTGTGACTGGTGGATGTTTTTATTGGCATACGTCGTACACAGTTTATATGCTCATTTGTTAACAAAAGATAAATAAACAAATTGAAAGAGCAAAAATACCTTACAAGCTGGGTTTGTATCATCTACAAGATAAACCCAAATCTGCCAGTCTCTTCCTTGTTTTGGTCGTTTAGCAAAGATCGCCATTTGCATTCTTTTCTTGTCCTCTTTTCCCGGTCTTCCGAACGCAGCGATCTCGACGTCTTCCCGCAGAGATGGCAAAGTGACTTCAATGTCATTGTGTATCAATTGCACTTTAGCGTCGGGGTAGACCAACGTGAGGCTTCTCCATTTGTTACTTTGCTTGGGCTCTTCTTGGGTGTCATGCAGTAAGGGGCGACATTTCACCTGGATTTCCCACTTATTTTCGGGTGTCATCAAACAAGAGTGTTCAATCCGAGTTAGGTGAAATGCTGGGATACCACTTGCGATCTTATAACAGCCACTGATCTGGACTTCTGATTCTTTGACAACATCGGTGTCCATTTCTAATAATAAAAAAAAAAAGAAAAAGGAAAAAAAAAGGTGGGGGAGGGGGGTAGTCAGTCTACGGCATAGAATAATAAGGACCATATATTTCAGTGCAGAGTCTGGTTACAAAGTTATACCGGTGCAGTAGCCTAGAACTGGTTACATTTACTCCGACACTAAACATGTACATTTTGAGATTTTCTGTGACCATGATGATGCTACTAATAATGTTTCATCATCATTATCATTATCATTATCATTGTCGCTATCGTTATCGTTATCGTTATCATTATCGTTAACCTTATAGACTGCTTGCAGTCCGCCTTTTCTCTTAAAATCCGTTTAGTTCTTATCTCATCCAGCGATATTCCAGACCACGACGTTATTATTACAGAGACGAGACGAGAAAAGACGGACTGCTGACTCTTCATTGTAGTAAACAAACCCTCCGTCAGCCCAGAAACGGAGTAACCGATTGGTCAATTGATCAGCTGTGGAAAGGTCATTGACTGGTCTGTGGTGAGATCGCAAGCAATAAAAATAGTCACGCGTCACAACCAACAGCAAACAATAGCGAACCAAGCAGTTATCTCAGTAATAAAACTTTTAAGGATGTCTTACAGAAGGAAACTGCTGCAAATTTCCCTTAAGGGAAACGAATTCAAGGCAATCTTACCGGATTTAAAGAAATAGTAATTTTTTCAGTTGTTTAATGTTCTATTCATAAATCGTTTCAAGTTACTCGTGTTTATTGATTAATTAAATTACCTTGACAGCTTCGTTGTCACCAGACAGAACAAAAGAGTCAGCAGTCTCTTATTTTTTCTTCTCGGGCTTACGCCCTCGTTTCTCGCGGTTCTCGGCTTCGCCGCTGGCTCGCGCTGCTCGCAGTCTATTAACCTTATCCTTATCCTTATCCTTACCCTTACCCTTACCCTTACCCTTACCCTTACCCTTATCCTTATCCTCATCCTCATCCTTATCCTTATCAGCATCATCATCATCATCATCATCATCATCATCATCATCATCATCACCATCATCATTCTTGTCATTATTATTATTATTATAAGTACTATTATTAATGTCCTTTATTCGCATATAATTGGAAGACAATAAAAAAGAGGAAATAACATAAGTGAGGATTGGTAATAAGTGCACCAAACCCCTTTGGACAACCCGCTTGTGCGATCTTTTTGATTCTGTGCCGTTGCTGTTTTCTACACTGTACGTGAAAATTCTTAATGTCAACATAAAAACCTACCCGTTATAGTGCGGACATGGCTCTAAAGGTCAACAATGAATTTACATAAATAACACAAGAGTGAAAGCTTTGCTGTGTTGAGAATTAGCGCATAAATTTGTCCTTACTTAAAGTGGTAACAGTGATCGAGAAGAATTTCCAGAAATATTTATTTTGGAAGAAAAAAATAATATTCGATTATTTTCCCCAATATTTTTTTTCCTTTTCTAACAAAATATAGGTATCTCAATCTTGTACTTACCAATTTTGGCCATTTGCTCGGCAGCGCCGTGGACCTTGCTGAGTACTGCATAAAAAGTTTTCATTTGTCGAAACTCAATCTTTTATATCGTGACCACAAACGTGTTTACAACTTTCACAACAGGTGATTAGTTCATATTCTTTCTATTTTTGTCACCTGGGATACTGTTTTATAATCTCGTGACCAATGAAACACAGCCAAATAAAGAAGGGGTTTTTTCCCTTGAAGGGTTTTTGCAACGTTGCACATTTCGGTATATTGTTAACCTTGAGAAATACTAAACGTATACAAGAAATTTAACCCACATTAATAGCTTTGGATAGATAAATTACGATTTTTTTGTCGAGTCAAGAAAAGAATCATAGATATAGGCGTACAAAATTGATGAAAAGTTTTGCAATCTTCAACCCGGAGCATTGTTTACATGTAAGACACTATAATTCAAACGAAGTTTAAACGTGTGTGGTAATTAGTATAGGTAATAGCATGATTTGTAGTGATATTTGGCATAATATAATAACAAATAATAAAATAAAATATATTTATATACCAATTATTCGCCTCTGAAAATTTCAGAAGAAAAATTGTATTCATTTGTACTTGTCTTCAAGGTAAACAGGGATTTTTCCCTAAATTACATGTGTCACACACGAAAACGCTTTGCAAAGCAAAAATGCAAATCTGATCATCGATCCATTGTTGCTCCGAGGGAATTTTCCCCTGTATCAGGATTACCAGATTGAGAGATCAGAGTGACAACGTAAGCATATTTCACAGCCTTTCAATTAGAAAAATAAAGTGAAAATACAGAAATATTAGGGACTTTTCACTTCTTGGTGGAAAAAGAATAAGCCCGAGTCCTGTGACCGTCATGTGACTCTGAAATAAAAAAAAAATAGTGCGATAAACAAAGCCGGCATGAAAATTAAGTAGTCTTTAGTTTACCCTCGTTTAAATCACACAAACGTGGGAGAAGATTGTTTTCAAAGGATTCTTTTAAGATTTACTGCGATACATGAGAAGTCGAAAGAATACAGACCGTGGCAAGCCCGTTTAGTGCAACATCCCTTTTCAAAATATTCAAATTGGACGTACAAGTAAGTTTTCTTATTATTTTTAAACTCAAGTTTCAGAAATTTCTCGCCTACTGATACTAAATTTACATGACTATATACATGTATGTATAACAGATATCATGTTTATCATCTTGAATACGAGCTGTGGAGTAAAATAATAATTTCACTGATCGTCACGCGACTTTCAAGAAATTAAGCCATTCTGCGAAACTTTGACGAATCCAATGTCACGCTAACTTCCTTTTTTTCTTTTTTCGTAATATCAGCCTTATGGATAACATGTAGTCCTAAACACAGTGGCTAAAATATATACCAAAATGACCACCCGAAATGATTAACCATAAAAAGAGGGAAATTAAAGGTCTTATACAGTGACAATACTTAGAAACAGGAAATGACGATTAAATAATCGTCTACGTTTGAAAATACCCAGCTGATTTTGATGTCTGTTTCATGTTCGCTGTCTCTAATGTCGTTCAGAAATCGAAAACAACAACAACAAATAGCCAAAACACCGGGGTATAGTTCTTTCTGCTACCCAGAGAATCAGCTGCTGCAATTTAAGATGCCAGCTGTCGGGGATTCCCCTGTCGTAACTATCGTGTAAGCGTGGGCAGAAATCCTGGACAGCGGACTCTTGTCGCAGTTTTCGATTCCTTTCGAAATACGTTTGCAGGGAAAGAATAGAACTGTTTAAAGTAAAGTAAAGAGTCAAGCTTTTTGATAATCAAACTTTGAGGTTGATCTAAAGTCACCAAAAACTTTGAATTCTTTCCTCATAAGCTTCTGTTGCACTTGTTGTCACGCGTTTTTCTACTATCCATCCACGCAAACAGCGGTTTTTCCCTCAAATTATAACACATTTCATGTAAACTTTCCCGACTCTGATGTTGGTAATTTCTGTGCTGCAGAAGCGCATCTGTTAAGTTCTACTCGGCCATTTCAGTCAGGCGTTATTAGCTCGTACTTTCCTCGGAGCGTCTTCTTCTTCAAGTAGTGAATTGCTTGAATTTTCACAATTTTATATAGCTGATAGCTGGTTTTATACAGTGGAGAACCCTGTGATCCACAATTCGCATGCTTAGCGACTAAGTTGTCTTCGGTTTTTGCCCATGGGTAGGCTAAAACGTTAGTCCTACGTATACATTGTACATGTGGAAGCTTTGGTTTTCACCCTAAAGGTTTGAAGGTTTTTATATATATACATATATCGTAAAGTAAAACTTTACATGATTCTGAAAAAAAGGTAGATTTGGTACAATTGCACGTTCCCGAATTCGAAGCGTAACATTGTCGACCACGTCTGAGTTTCATTGGCAAAATATGAATAGTGTATTTTGAAAGATATTGCGGATGGAACGGCCTTTTTTTCTTGTTTTTCGTTTTTGAAGCTGCCTTGGAAATGCTTAAATGCTAAATACTGCTAATTTTATATTTCTTTTCTTCATTATTTTAGGATATGTCCGATAACATTCCTTTAGCCAGACAGCGGCAATGTGCAGATTTTACCTGCGAGGATGAAAAATACATTCTCGATATATGTAGCTGTGCGTTGCCGGAAATTCATGGTCGAGGTGAATCGAGGAAACAGGTCTTCGTTTACATAACCAGAGCCAAAGAAAATGAAAGATTAACTTTCCTTGAGGTAGTATTAATCGCATTGTATATCGCCCCTGTAGGTAACCCTCTCCTCTCCCAAATAATGATAACAATGATAATAATACAATGATAATATTATTAGAAAGTGATAATGGCGGGAGTTTGTAAATTATTATTTTAGGTATTTTTGTTTCATCAAAATTTTTAGTCTACGATAGTGGGATGTAAATTGGTCATATGTTAATAAATTAAACATTTTTATTTCTCTGATAATATTATTAATAATCCTAAAAATAATAATAATAATAATAATAATAATAATAATAATATGATGATGATGATGATGATGGTGATGATGATGATGATGATGATGATGATCTGTCTTCCAGGAGTAGATAAATTAAAACAACAATAAAAAAGTGAATCAATCAATCTATACTATAATAATTATAAATTATTGAAAACTGAATCATTGGAAAATGTAATTCTAGAGCGCTGATTGACTTAGTCATCATGGTATATGAGCCATTTCAGCTGCCATTATACCATGCTCTCCAAATATGGTAACTGTACGCCTCTGTTCAAAAATAAAAAGAAGCTGAAAATCGGTTGTTTTTACAAATAATGTCGGAAAGAATACTCGATATGTTGTTGGCGTTTTTAATAAAAAAAAATTTCCACTCGCCCTTGTAAGATATGGGATGTTTGCAGCTAACTCGGTGCTAAGCGCCTCGTTGTATATCTTCCATCTCATATCCACCTTGCACTCGTGGAATAATTGTCAATTATATTTTTTCTTTAACTCAGTACTGACAGAGGACACCATGCAATGTCATTAACTACATTTTAGTTTAGTTTTTTTTTCTCTACTTATTATAGGAGGAGAAAACTAGATTGGGCATGATTAGAGTATACAATGACAGGTTCTGCTGGAAAAAGAAGAAAGAAGATGAGGTGCTTATTGTAAAAATGAAGATGGAAGATTTTGACTCTTCTAGTAAACCGGTAAGACATATTGTATTCCCTCCCCCCGACAATTTATAATAGGTGAAGTCTAACATAGGCCACGGTTTAGTAAATCTTTGGACGACGGAATCTCTTCCATATTGGGTTGATTTAAGAAAATAAGTACTTTTTCAGTCTGCACCTTTTGCTTTCATAAAACTTTTCATGGTAAATAGCGTTAAGAATTCGACACTAGGGAAATTGAATTAGAACGCGACTTTGTTAAACACTGGCTAAAGTTTTTTTAAATAACTGGCCCTACAAGTTACTATACAAGGAAGTAAACTGGAAAGGAACACCAAAAACATTTCTTCGCCAATATATAAGTGTTTTCAATTTAAGCCTGATGACAAAGTGCAAAGCTGTTTCAATGGAAATTATTTAAACAAGTGACAGTTCAAACTAATTAAAATTTTCTTAGTTTGTTTATATTCACTTTTTCAGATTGCATGCCAGTGAAACATTTAAATATTATTTACTCGTTTGTATCTAAGACATGGAAAATGCACAGAAAAATTAAAAGCTGGACTGGCTTCTTCTAACGTACTAGTTTTTTTTTCTTTTCATATTTATGTTATTTATTTAGTTAGTTCATTATTTATTTATTTTTTATTCATTTGACAGAATTTGCTAACCTACGGATATCTGACTTTTTTTGGTAGATTGAAAGGCGTAAAATTGACGAGATGCGAAATCCAGAGAAAGTCACTTTCACGTTGCCTTTTTGCGATGCATCCGTCATGAGATTCGGATTGAGTTTAACCACAAAGTTATTGAACGAAAGCGTTTGCGACGAGGTCCTGTTGGAAACAGAATATTTAAAGGCCAGCTTTTCCACAGTAAGTAGTATAGCACCCCACAAGTTGTACTTGTATGCACGGTCCATAATATAATACTACTGAAGAAGAGGAAAACACGAGGAACATTACAGCGATATAACAATTAATGAAAATTCCAGAACTCAGAATCAAAATATTTAAATACCAACGAGACGCTTTCTAAACGTGAATTTACTTCCTTGGATAAATTTAACTGCTTTAATCTTCACCAGCAGTGCCAAAGACTGAATTCGAAGTCGAAGGATTTTCCTACGGCCATAGCAGACGCTTTATTTTATTTAATTTATTATTTTGAAGAGTACTCGAAGATAACTCAAACCCACGATAACTCTAACCTCCCGCTAACTCGGTGTAAGTTCAGAAAAGTTCGCCCCAATTTTTGATCATTTCCTTATTTCCAGATACCCCACCAGGAGACAAGACCAGGGATTGAACATGGTCACATGACCAGTGAATCAGTAGCGGTAGCTTAGGAGGGAAACCGGTCATTTCGATACAAGTCATTTCCATAACTCAAGTAGTGAAATCTCACAAGAAAAACATTTTAAGTGTAAATTCTTCGTTCTTTAAGCCAAGTATGTGCAACTATTTACATAGCGACTGAATAAGTTTGTATCGAAACGACCGGTAACCAAGAGCCTAGATACTCTGCAACATCTTTTCAAAGTTATTGTCAGTCTAGTGCTAAACTGCGATCAGGCTTCTACTTCTCTTTCATTTCGAAAAAAATCCGCCCGGAAAGCAAAGCGGAAATTTCTTATCTGATCGTATCTAAGGGTACTTAGTTCTGTATGTTTATTGGACATATGCTGTGTTAAACAGATCTTCATAAGGAAGTATATTTTGGTTGTAAATGTTAGGTTCAGAGAGAGCTGGGACCCGTTTCTCGAAATACCCAGTACCTATATTTTCGTGCCCGAAATGAAATCATTGTTCAATCACAATCTAAAGATCTCTAAAGAATATAGGCGCGGGTCGTATCTAGCAAATCAGTTTATTTTATATTGTCCACTGATAGTTTTATTTCTGTTACACCCCAACCTCGACAACCATTGCAGTACTCATTTGTGACTCTATACAATCATAAAATACATAGGCGAATTTGTACTTGTTTAACCCCTGAAAAACACTTGCGTGCGAATGGAAATAAACTTCCTTTCTAAGTTACAGCTTTGTCCATTGCAGCTTGTATACTACAAGAGGAAATAATTATGTAACATACTGTACAGCCTACTGATGTAATTAAGTCTGGAAGACATGCGATATACACCCTGTCACTTTCAGAACAGCTTCACAGGTGCAAAATATACTTTTGTGAATACTTTTCAACTTCATTGCTATATGTAAATAAAAAAATTACGTAAAGGAACCGATACACGAAATTAAATAGAGATTGAATGTGTATATGTTATAATTATAAAGAAAAAGCTTAGCAATATTGTCACTATGAATAACTGAGCTTCACTTCAATTTTACTTTTCTGGAAGCCTACCAAATCTTATATCCTAAAATGCAGCTTCCATGTACAAATATATTTCACCTTTAGCTGGCAAAAATAAAGCCGTTCGATGTATTTAAAAACTGGTATTATAGTGTAATATTTCTCAGTCTCAAAATAAACTGTTTTCGAAAGTATATAATATCGTTATTATTTTCCCAAATTTAGGCTATGTTCACACCGGATAGCTTTTGCGCATGCCCAAAAACATAGTGGACAGGGCTTCTGTTCACCGGCGAAAAATGTCTGCGCATGCTCTACTAAAAATGACACGTGATCTATTTCGGGCAATGTCATTGGCTCCGAGGCGAAAATACCCGCGAAATGTTGTTCAGATGGAAGAAGCTATGGCAGCTTTTTTTGGCAGTGACAGCTTTGCAATTTCTTGCCACTGTAAGAGATCAAAAATTATTTTGGTCAAAGTTTTGACGTAAGTGTGTTCTCTAGAGAATATAGCGTCCTGAAACTGGCGAAAAATCGCATTGGCATGGTCTGATTCAGTATTATTGACGTTGAGATCGCTGGTTTGCATGTGGAAGACATGCCGAAAAGGTGGGTAGTTTTTGCTCTTTTTGTTTACTGCATGTTCCGTGCAACTCGGTACAAAAATAAATTATAAAGTAGTGGAAGAAAAATTATTGGGGTTTGTTTTGGTATATAAATTAGCTTGTACCGAGTTGCACGGAAGCGACAGTTTTGTTGAATGTGTATCCCGTTTTTGTGTCAAAATTCGACTTTGATTGTGAATCTAACATTCGATAACATTCGACCGTTGATCGAAGAGCGTATTACAGTGCTATCCAAAATGTTTTTGTTGTTTAGATCAAGTTTCTTATCACGGATTCAACAAAAAAGTAGAGGGACAGACATTTTCGGGCTTTGTTTTGTTTATGTGACTTAGCGTTTACTTTGTTGCTAGAAAAACTATATTTAGATGCTTAATCTCCGCATGTTTACACTGTTTATGGCAGAGAAATTCGCTTACGCTTGGTTCAACTTAATCTCGTGTCACTCGGTGCAAAGGGAAATCATAAAGGAGGTAGAGAATTACTCTTAGCCATTGTCTTGGTGTGTAAATTGTCTTGTAGCTAGTGAATCGAAACCTAAAGTGCGTCGTTCGAAACGTTATTTTGTCCATGGTTCCACATTTCATTGTTGTTGTACATTAGTACGGCTTTGTATGTTACAGAAATTTGAGTTTTATCCGAACTGTCGAATGAGAAAATGTGAGAGTGCTTTCATTACAACGCTAATACCATCTTGGAGCTACAGTTCGATAGGTCCAGCAACGTTTGATTTGTAAAAAATATTCTGTTTACAATGTGTACAGCTGCTGTACATTAATTTTAGGCTTACAATGGTATAATTGAAGGATGCAAGTTTAGATTATTTTGCTCATAAATTTGGCCTGGGATTATCCACAACGAGGTCCTTGTTACTTTCCGCGTTAGGAACTGCACTTACGGACATGATTTCCCGCGTGTGCAATTTTTAAGTACCAAATCTTTGCTCACAAGGCTTTCTGTGGGGGGTGCTTCTTTGCTTGAAAATGGGATCCTGGAAGAAGATGAACAGGGTAATTTTGATGTGAATACTTTTGTTTTTCTGTCCATTGTTTTTGGCTTAAATTTTTCTGGAGCAAAGTGATGAATGAATGACAGTTAACATGCTACTAAGTATTCAAACGTTCTTTCCAAGAAAAAAAATGATTAGGAGTTTAAAGTTTGGAGTAAACTTTCGAGTAAACTTTGAGTCTTAATGAAATTTTAGTTGGATCATGTTGATGAATGCAGTTGTGTAGGATGTGTAGTTTCCAATTTTGATCTTCTGTCAGAATTATGAGAGAACACTTACACATCTCATTCAAAAACTGTAGTTTCATTGTTATTATTGTTTGTTTCTATTCCTATAAACTTCTCATCAGGTCTCCATTTTGCATGAATTTAATGTGATATATATTTGAAGGGGTTGTTCAGTTTCACCATAAAGTAGTTTTCACTTTGTTTTTTGATATGAAGTTCACTGGGTTTCTTCTTAGCTGTTGGCTAAGGCAGTGTTGAAGTATCTGACATGTTAACATACTTTACTTTTCATTTCTCTTCAGAAAAGATTGATTGATCCTGAATCAAACAAAGGGCAGCCTCACAAACAAGATTTTTTTTGACGAACAAACGTGTACCCAAGGAAAGCATATGTCCCTGACAGTGTCAATAAAATTTATTAATGGAAAGATCTGGGTTTTTACTCCTTTGTAGCACTTTAGACTATATGCATCACTTTTTTAACCTTTATGTACTAAAAAAATATAATCAGTATTTTTTCCAACTTACACTTGAATCAAAGTTCTCCTCTTTAAAATATAATATTCCCCTAATTTTAAAAATTTCATTATCTTATTCAGATCAAGCACAGTAACCATTGAAAAGAAAAAAAAAACCTTGTTCGGTCAAAAGACGGCTTTAAAGTTTTGATATTAAAATTGCACCCGTTCTCAATGAAACGACTAAATGCAGACACTAAAGTTCATTTAGCTCATGTTCCAGCTTTTTTTGTAAATTGGAAAGTGTTGCTGGAGAAAAAATATTTTTGCTTTACCTTTTCGGAAAAAAAATTAAATAAAATAACTACCAGGTGTCTAAGCAATTTCAAAGGACCCATAGTGTCTTATTTATCTGCTACATTGAGCTGTGAACAAAGGTCGTTCTTCCTAGTGACCCTGCTTTTTCCAGAAATATTGTTGTCCTTCGTGATCCAAAGTTGAATCCTGTAAACCGGCCAAAACGCGAGCATCGCAGGGAACGAATCCCATAGGAATAGGTGAAAAAGGAAAATAAAAAGCCTAGGCTATTCTAAAATTATCCGTATATGCATTTGCAACTCATATTAAGCCGCAATTAATCCTCTTTCCACTGGAATAAACAAACGATGGAGGTATTGCCGCCATTTTGAATTTGACAATGTCACGTGGTGGCGCGTCGACCAATCAGACATTTTTCGCCGGTGAAAGGGCTTCTGCTAATCCTCACATACGAGTGGCGATTTCGGTGATTTCTGTAACGGAGCAAAGCTGCAGATAATATACTGATTTTTTTTTTTTAAATTGCAATTTTGGGTAGTAATTTTGACATCAGTATTAGCCAAATTCTAGCCCCAGACTCCTCTCTGTCCAATGCCTTGAGAACAAAGTTACAGCCGCAACCCGGTTACCTCAGTTGGAAGAGCGCCTCTCTGCTGAGCGGGAGATCATGAGTTCAATCCCCAGACAGACCATCAACCAAGGTCTTTAAAAAACTGGTGAGATCATGCTAGCTGTGAATCCCCTTTCTCAGTTTTCTCAGTTCAGATGATTGCGTCATTGGGCGTTGACGTTAAGCCGTTGGCCTTGTCTCCTCCATCCTTGTACTTCAGTTGGAAAGGGACGTAAAAGAAACCGTGACATTAATATTGTTCGAAAAGAGTAGGGAACGTAGGCCCTGATGTCATGGTCTATCTGACTTGTGCCGTCATCGGTCTGGGTGGGCGCGGTGTGATCAAAATATGGACTGAAGTGACTGCAAGAGTGTGCCTTTACATGCTGACGTCCGATCTCACCTCTCTGGTTCCTTTGCAATTCAGCCATTGGCTGCAAGTGAGGAAAGTTGGCACCGTTTATTTATTATTTTTTTTATTTCTACAGGAGCCGATTACTTATTTCTATTTTTTTTTTACAGGCATGAGCTGAAAGCTCTATAGTAGAGTCTATGGTCAAATTCATTTGGGAACACAATTTACCAGTGGAGTTATAATTAAATGGCACTTTCAAAATTTCCCCTTGGAGGCTGGATTTTGGTGGTCAGAGGAAAAAAAAATGAGACGCCCCCTCCCATCCCCCGCAAAAACTACAGAACTAGAAGTTAGAGAACTGAGCCAAAGTGACTTTTGAGATATCTCTTCACACCCAACTTCTGTACTAAGTTTCAGCCAAATCAGTTGACC